ACAGACCTGCGGAGATAATAACATGCACAAAAACAAGACAGCTAAAAACCAAGCAACGATATACAACAAAACAACAACAACAACAAACCAATGACAAAAAACAAACAAGCAAAACACAGCAAGAAAGAAAAGCTTGTAGTTAGCTCAAGGACTGTTTGTTGGCCTTTAGGAGTGTTTTCCAGTACAGTCTATTGGGGCACCACGCCCTGGCCCCAAAGTCCACCTTCAGCATTCCCTGGGGACCTTGCTGCTCCAATCTCTTGCATCCCCTTAGTGTTTTGGCTCTGTGTGGTGGGATCAGATAAGCACAGTTCCCACACTGTGTCTCAGGTATTGTCCCCTGTAGGGCTATGGGTCAGTGAGGGATGTCGTGTCTCATAGTGGGGCCGGCCATGTGGTCCTCTCTGTGGACTCTGCTCTAATCAGGAACATCGTCCTCAAGGCCTGGTGGGCCAGGATGTGCTCCACTCTCTCCTCCTCCTGTTTGTGTACTCTGTGTGCTCCCGTGTATTCCAGTCAGATATCTTCCTCTCCTGGAGCTGCATATTCAGTGCCCTCCTTTGAAATAAATTCTTTTGGGTGGAGAATAACCCTCTTTTTTAAGTTACGGCTTTCCTGCCAATCGAATGACCATTTCTTGTATGAAATGATGTTAACAATAGATCTATTTGGAGTTTTGTTGTTTTAAATTTATTACTTGAAACAATTAAAAGTTAACAGCATTGGGTCGGTTTTCTCTCGGGTAAACTCTGGCTGGTGGGAAACTGGATTAAGATTAAGAATTTTCAATACCAGAGCTTGGTTAAAAGCCTACAGAAAGGAATAGAAGAAGACACAATTGGAATATCAAAGAATAAATCATTGTGCAAGATATTAGCAAATTGTCCATTGGAAAATGATGAAGTAATATATTGAGATTCATTTGTGTTTATGTTTGTTTGGCCAAAAGCTATTGATTCCAAATCCAAAGAATTTAGATTAAATATTTATTTGTCTTCACTTTTTGTGTCCTCTTCACATCCTTTAAAACACCTTGCTTTTAGACTTTAGCCCTTTGCCCACTGTCCTGATAAACTAATGAATCTCTAACTCTAACCCAATCTCTTTCCAATGGACAATTTGCTAGAAAGATTACATCCTGTCTTTTAAGGGTTAAAGACAACCCCCCCACCCTCAAAAAAGCACTGCCATGGAGTCAATCCTGACTCAGAGTGACCCTATTAAGACACACTAGAATGTCCCTGGGAATTCCCAAGACTATAATTCTTTACGGGACTAGAAAAACCTGGTCTTTCTCGGTCAAAGCTGCCTTCTGGTTTCGGACTGCAGACATGTCTTTTATGAGTGTTTGGAGACAAGCAGTTCGCCCGTAGCTTTGGTGTGTTTTCTTGGCATATGAGTATTATTTTCTAATGTTAATGACATTTTGCTGGTGTGCTTCTGTATTTTCAGGTTGTTTTTATTCAGATAAAAGAATGTATTGAGATCATATTTTATAAGGAGTTGACTTTTTGTTGTGACTTTTGACTGAAAATAATTTTCCTATTTTGTGACAAATAATTACTCCCAGTAACTGAGTTTTTTTATTCGTTTAGCAGCAGCAACAGAAGAGCCAGAAGTGATTCCAGACCCAGCCAAGCAGACCGACCGAGTGGTGAAAATAGCTGGGATTAGTGCTGGAATTTTGGTCTTCATCCTCCTCCTCCTTGTTGTAGTATTAATTGTAAAAAAGAGGTAAGATCTGGTCTTGTCCTGTCTTATGCACTACAGTTTATGCCAGTAGTTTTCAAAATGCCTTTCCTCCTCCAAATATTTTAAATTAGAACACATGAGAAGAAGCAGCGATTTTAATGGTATTGTTAGCTTTTCAGTCTCACAATTCAAAGGGAAAAATCATGTTGGTTATTTGCATATAATTTAAGATCTATGCATGCTTCTTTGGTCAAGTTGCCGTTCTAATTTTGATCTATGGATTTGCATTTTTCAAATTTAAATATACTGGATATATGTTTATATATGTGAAGTGTTATTAACAATGTCAAAATACGGACTTGGTTTGAAACTTGGACTGTGGTCAATGGCTTCTTTTATACTCCTACACTGTATTTTTAAAATCTTGGTATCCAATAAGCGGTGAGAAAACCTAAAAATATTTCTAGTGAGATTGTATATTATGTTTACTCACTCAAATATTCAGCATTAAAAAAATAGCCCTCTTTTTAATTGAACTTTAGTCTTTTATACTATATCAACCAATATCGCCATCTTCTGGAATTATCTGAAGATGGTGAGACCTACTGGGACTTAAACTGAACTTTATTCTACAGATTAAAACATATCCCTGCTGAAAAACATTTCAAAGTATTTTTTTCAGAATATTTTCTTAAAATTCTAACTTTTGCCCATTATATAATGTGTAAGGATTGGTAAGGCATTGTCTTGGAAAATAATAAAAATTTCTAGCCCATCTGGTCATGTATTTTGGATAATTTTGAAGAAATTTAAAAATTTTTGTTTTGTTTTGATCTTCATCTTTACACACAGAGTATGGTCCTAACACCGTTTTGTGTTTAGAAGTGGTTGTAATTTATAAAACGTTTTTAATAATGCAATTATTGATATTACATACATTACATGACCAATGTAGTTGTTTATTGAGATCATATTTTATGATCAAGATAAAACATGAGCATTATAGATAAAACTGCTAGTGCAATGTTTTAACAATTCCATCAGAGTTTATTTTAATGTATTGCCTCTTTACAATTATCCCCTGGAGATATGTATGTTGGAGAAGACACATCTGCATTAGAAACCTTAGGTACGCATTATAGTGCTTTGTGTTAAACTAGCTACCTATCTGCTTTCCCCACTAGTGCTGTCTACCTCTGTGGTTGGATAAAATATCGTATGTAAGACAAGAACACTTAAATAGTATAGTTAAATTTTTTATCACTAAAGATCATTAAAATCATCAACTCCAACTATCAGGTTGTATGTTTCAATTTAGCTTAAATTTATTTTAATAGAGTTCAAAACAGTTTAGAGAGTTAATTAAATGTTGTGTCACAAAATGTTTTCAGTCACTTCAGATTGGTTATGCAAGCAGGACAGTACCTTCTGACAGTTGGAATTGGGTTAAACCTAATGGTTGTGTTTATTTTTTATTTATTTCAAAACAATTCCGCTCTGTGTTGGAGACAGCTTGATGACTGTGAGGCCTTTTGATATTCGAAAACATTAATTTGGTATCAAAAGCCCTCTTTGAACCGAGTCCTGGTGGTGCAGCGGATTAAGCACTGGGCTGCTAACAATGTCTGGGAGAAAGAGGAGACAGCCTGTAAAGATTCAGAGCCTGCAAACCTTACGGAGTGGTTCTGTTGTGCGCCTCCGTTGCGTACGGTCACTGTGAGTTGGGATTGACTTACCCACAGTGAGTCTGTGTTTATTTGTTTTGGTTTTGGTTTAGGCAATAGCAAACAAAGGAAATTAAAATTTCCTTATTTATGATGGAACTATCACTAAGTAGGCTATATTTATTGAGCGAGGTAGCAAGTGTTCTGATAACTCTCTAAAATTGCGTGATGCACCAAACTCATCTTTTTTCTGTATTATGTTTTTTAATTGGTTGGGTAAATGATCCCCTGTGGAGGTGATTGTTGTTTCATAAATTGATTGATGAAGGAAAGTATGAACAAAAGCTAGAGTGTTTGTTTCTGTTCCTCATGGCCACCTAGACTGTTAGGGAAAGTTTCACATGTATAAGTAGATAATGTTCCATGTTAAGATATGTTACCTTCATATTTAAGATCAAAATTACATGAATCTCCTACTTAAGCAATATTGTAGTGATTTTCATTCATATGTAACATGAATCATTGATGTCTTGTATATGTCATAATACACATAGAAATGCATCGATATTGTGATGAGCTAAACAATTCTAGTGCATCCTGTAGTTTCCCTTTTAGTCCATATAGCTATAACAAGAAACATGAGGAAAAGCCTTTAGTTTCTTATCTGTTTTTTTATGGGACATTATTGTTTCTCAACTAAGACTTTATCTTTGTTGGGAATAATATACTTAGATATATTATTCAAGTTGAAAAAGTCTGGTTTATTTCTGGTTGTTCTGTAAAGAAATGGTTTGGAACTCAAGTTAGTACAATTGAGCTTATATATAAAGTAAGTGTTTAGATTAAGAAAAGGGATATTGCATCTTTTGAAACGCAATGTCATTTATTTTTATTTAGCTGCTGTTTAATTATTTCCAAATGTATGCCATTTTCCATTGGTTATGTATTATATTTTATATGCACAGCATGAACACATTAATGTTTCCAGGCACTGGAATTTGAAATTATGTTTCAAAACAGTAAATGTATATGACTCTGCTCGCATACATCTACTGTAGAAATCTATTTTTGTATATATAGTCTATGGTGCATATGTATATTCATATACCATATGTATTTACCTGTGTACCATTAACATATAATGATTTGTTTATGTAAAATTAGGTGTCAGCCTGCATACATTATCTATTAACCTAACAGATCTTTATATTTTACATCTAACGGAAATTAACCCATTTAGTGTACAAGTCCTATACACGGCAGCTATTCCATCTGTCATGACATTTAGATGGGAATGGATGATATTATGCTTAACTGCATGTCAAAAATACATAATCCATTTAATCTTTCAGTTTTTTGGCAATAAAAACGTCAGCATGTTGTTTTTTCCCCAACTATGTATATTTAAATTTTTATTTTTTATTGCATATCTGTCTATTTAATTGCATGGCAAAAGAAATCTAATCAATGCATGAGCAAATTGAAATGCAAACCAAATAAACATGAATTTTATTTCATTTTATTTTAACGCACATTTTCTCTGCTTTATCGAATGTGACAGAGTCACGCTTTTCATTCACCATTGCTTCTCTTTTTCCACTGTCTGTGATTTGCTTGCCAGGAGGAGCTACTATTCTTACTCCTACTACCTGTAAGTAAAATCGGGTGATGTGCGACTGTACACGTGTTAAAGATGCAGTATCCCTTTTTAAAAACAAGAGCAGAGAATGTTGGCCATTTTGATGACAAATCATTTACTGCCTTTTCCTCAGCTCTCAAACTGTAACATGTATCCATTACAAGCTTCGCTGATCTTTTTTAAGAAGGGATATTGTATTTCTGTGTGTTCAGCTACTTTTAATTTTTCTTTATGATTTTCCATGATTAGCTTTAGTCTACAGCCAAAATCATCATTTTTATATTCTTAGCCAGCTTGTACTTGATACTAAGAATATGAGACTTCTCACCTCTGGTAGCGATTGTGGTGGTAGTGCATCCTTTTGGAACATGGTTATATTTGACAAACTGAGAGGTAAGATTTGACAAAAAGATAGGTACTTCTAGAACATTCAAAGTGCCTTCAGACTTCAAAATTAGGTTAGTTCTGCATGTAGTAACAGCTCTCTATGGCATTTCAGGACTTCAGGATGGGTTAAACTTCAGCACATCCTTGGTCTGGCCAGCAAGACAATCAGCATGCTCTTGTAGAAACAATCATAATGTTGCCGCAATATATAAATAAAAACTCTTTCTAGAGGAAAAAATATGGAGTTAGTTTATTAGAACTTGAACAGAACAATGTTGATGACACCAAGGCGAGAGCATCCTCCTGACTATGCACACTGGTGTCACAGCAACCTCCTGACTATGCACACTGGTGTCA